GTGTGGTTACAAGCCAACCTTGCCCAGCAGCAACACCATGGGGATGGGACAGACCAGGGACATCCCTATTTTGTGTTTTACGTGGGCAGGAGCCCTAAATCCAGGCTGATCTCAGGAAATTCTAGTTTGTAACATTTGGATGCTTTCACAGGTGGGCAACAGGTGGGAGGCAGGAGGAGCTAGAGCAAAGGCAGATAAGAGCAAGCCTGACTGGAGCTGATGGGACTGATGTGTGGATCGCAAAGAAGTGCCGAAGGAGACAAACTTCCTCCGACCTCACGCCACATAAACAACTGTTTGCTTAGAGTTTCTCTCAAGATAACCCACATCTGGACTTCAACCTAGTCAATGAAGAAGGAAAATCTGTAAGCACAAATATGATTGGCAGGTAGTACAGAGCTTGTAGGAGAACTTCTATTTTTCTCTGTTAGGAATGCCTCTTCTCCAGTTTTCCCATACTACTATAGTAGCTGAGATGCTAATCACCAACCAAGATGCCCCAAGTGTGTTCCTAAAGATTCCACAAGGTGAGGACTAATACAGAGGAGGCTTCTGTAACCGGACATCTGGTCTCAAAAGAGCTAACCATTCTGAAGGGCCCAAATCTGTCCACCCTTGCTCCAGGATCACAGGGAAGCATCAATCTGAATGTCACAGGTGCAGTCCTGTGAGATACCTCCTTATTGCACTTAGAAATGAGTAAGGCAAACAAACTGACAAAAACAAGGATCAAATACTCCATTCTACTCCCTCCCTAACAGAGGCTTGGTCTCTAACAAATACCTAGGCTAGCAAGGGCTTGGATCACTACAGGTTGGGCTGACTGACTAAACAAGGCTTGGGAAATGTCAGGTGACACAACTATATCACATTCTCCCACCAGGAAGGCATACTCAGTTTCTGCCAATCTAGAAAAACTAGAATGCGCTCTAATAGAAACTAGTAGCTTCTATTCCCTACCAAGCATGGGCTTCACCAGCCTACTGTGGGAAGAGTTCTAGGCTACAGTCACTGCTTGCTTTTGATTGTCCAGCACAGAACTCAGCATGGGGCAGGATGAACCGAGTTCTTAATCTGCAAACTCCTCTCCAGGGATTGGAAACAGAAGAGATGTGTTTGCTAGGGAAGAAAAAGCTTTCGGCATGCTTGTTTTGTGCAGCATGAAAAGACCAGGACTCTTGTATCCTAACCAGCCTCAAAGAGGACAGGGACCTAAGAAAGCACAGATAGGATTATTGCTGAGTGGCAGCACCAGCCCCAAAGGGAAGAGGAGCATGGACATACAGAGCTCCTCAGGGGTCTGATCGGCATCTATAAACCACACTGGACATTCTCCAAGTGGGGACTGATGGGTTTCTTGTAGGCTCTGCAAAGAGATTCAGACAGAGTGGGCAACAGGAGGGCTGAGAAGCCAAGATATCTAAGAATATTAACCAGAGATGCAATGACTTGTGTAGGGGTTATTTATTATTTGCTAAATTTCCTTAGACTGGCTGGGCCTTGGGTACCTTCTTGATACTTAGAGCACTCGAACAAGAGATTATGAGGAGCAGAGGTCAGGATTAGGAAGCCACATTCCTACTGTGTGGAACTGGGGGCAGGTATCTCTGAATTTTTAACTCCTCCTCTCTCCCCAAGTGAATACTTAACATTGCCAAAGATCTGCCCAGGAAGCAAAATAGCTCAGTTTATCCCAAGGCTGAAATAAGTGAGCTTAAATGATATCACAAAAGGCAGCTAGTTTGAAAGACTAAAAATGTCACTTGGAAATAAAGGGGGAGGCATACAGAAATGGGTCAGGACACAATGGAGAGGGGGTGAGCTGTAAATACAGCAGCGTACACCATATATCTTAGAGGATCAGGCTCCCGCACACACAGGCTTTGTAATACCAGACGGTCTATTTGTTCACAATGTTAAAGGGCATCTAGAAATAGCTACAGTAAGGGACTGAAAGTTGCCTGAAGAATGAGCACAGAAAGGCTGCATCCAAAGACGGCCTGCCACTCAGGAGGGTGGAGCTGCTGGGCCTTCCTGTTGACCACTGTCTTGCAAAACTAGAAAAGAAATAGAAATTATTAAGGAAGCAACAAGGAAAAACAGAAGCATACAATAATAAATCATGTTGAGTGGAGGAATT